ATAATTTTGATCCCATTGTCAACATGTCCATTTCGGGTATAACTTAAAACCAGAAATTACCATAAAATACTCTCGAGTATTAACTGGAGCAAAAAATTTGTTGACTCTGTCAGACATCTCTGTTGATAATTATTTCGTAAAATGGCTGATATTTCATTTGGCTTTTTCAATTTTTCTGTGTGTGAGTGTTTTAACATTCTTTATTTTATTCCTTTGTGGAAAATAAGGGTGTAGCAAAGAGATGAACATCAGATGAGTACCTAATGCTGTCGTATTCCCCACACAAAGAATAGTTCTTTGAACAAAGTAATTTTTCAATAAACATTCATTAGATGAAACAATGTATGCTTGACATTTTAAGTCTATGACTATTTATTTCTAAATGATCCTTTATGAGGTATGTAGTATTTTTCTTTATCTATAAAAAGAAAGAATAATCATACCAAATTTGAAATCATTTTTGAAAATATGCTCAGTGAAGCATACACCAACTCATCAATTTCTATATGTGCCATCTAGTGACATTGATTACATTCTTTGTTTTCACCTTCATTTTCAGAATTGTTCCTTCTGCATTTATATAAATCACTGCCCTCTAAGTGAAGCAACCCTGGTGGTGTGGTAGGTTACATGAGGTGCTGCTAACTGCAAGGTCAGCAATTCGAAGCCCGGAGGCCCTCTGAGGGAGAAAGAGGAAGCTTTCTGCTCCAGTGTACAGTTACAGTCTTAGCAACTCACAGGGACAGTTCTACTCTGCCCTCAGAGAGTTGCTAGGAGTCAGAATTGACTTGACAGCAGTGACCTGAGCTCCCTAAGCTGTCTATGTAACTTTTTGAGTTGGCAAGGTCAATTTGATCCTATTTAGACCATTCTTTACAAGAGCCCAAAGGACTTTTTGACTCCAGTAAAGGGTTACAGTCTTGAAAACCCACAGGGCAGTCCTGTAGGATTGCTATGAGTCAGCATCAATTTATGGCAGTGAACTGAGTTAAGAAAGCACACAGTGCTTAAGGGAAACATTCTTTACTAGTTGTGCTAAACTATTAGTTGGTTTAAAGAAGACTTCAGGGGGTATTTTTGGTTGAAATCTATGGTGTAAAAGGAATCACAGTGCAATCCTTTTGGGGGCTTCATCCAACTTCAATGGCTTCAGAAAGACTGGATTTCAGAAGAATTTGAGATTCTATTTTTATTAGGCCGGGTTGACTAGGGAAAAACAAATCCAGTGACATCTAATAAAGAGAGAACTTTCTACCAAGAAGTAATTATATATCAAGAAAGCAGTCTAGCTCAGTCCAACTCTAGTCCATAAATCTGATAGTAGTCCATAAATTCCTCTTCAGACTAACTAGCCACGTTCAATAACACAGAATGCACGGAGACCACAGGCTGGTGGGTGTAGAGCCCTGTGGAGCCCAAGCCAGTGGAAGCATTGGCAGGGCTCCGGCGCTCTCAGGGTCCACCACCAAGTCCCAGCAGGCAGGAAGGCAGAGTTAGAAGGCCGCAATCCTAATTGACAAGTGTGATTCCAGACCTAGCAAGTAATGTCTAGTTAACATAAAATCATCTGACTACCACACTATTCTATATTTTTCCTATTTTTTAAGATTCGTATTGTGGTTACATGTTGGGTTACTAACAGCAAGGTCAGCAGTTTGAAACCCCCAGCCTTTCCATGGGAGAAAGAGGACGCTTCCTACTCCATTAAAGAGTTACAGTCTCAGAAACCCACTTGGGCAGTTCTACTCTTTCCTATAGGATCACTATGAGTCAGAGTGGACTTGGTGACAGTGAGTCTGGTTTTTGTTTGATTATGAGGGTTGAATGACTTAATATATGTAAAGCAATTCCAGCAGTCCCTGAAAAATTTACTCACGGCCATAGAATTGATTTCAAGTCATAGAAACACTATGTAGGACAGAGTAAAACGGGCTTTGTGGCTTTCTGAGACTGTACATCTTTATGAGAGCAGAAAACCTTGTCTTTCTCCCTAGATGTAACTGGTGATTTCAAATTGCTGTCCTTGCTGTTAGCAACCCAATGTGTAACCCTCTCCACCACGGAGGCTCCTTGCACTACTTGGTAGGCTTCTCATTTTTTTCTTATTTAAATTACTTTAATTCGTTGAAAGATGGCCCCCACAGCACCACCATGTTAATTAGATTGTTCATGGGCTTTTTCACTGGGAGGTACAGTGATCTTCAGCACACTTTTTTCCCCCTGGAGTCCAATAAATTGTATTAAAAATTTTAAAAACATCATTATTGATGATCAGCGTATTTCCTTTCTTTATCTTTTTACCCATGAATTTAGTTTACATTTTCGTCCTTAATTTTGGAAACTCTCAACTAATAATTGCTTTCATTTGAGATGTAAGAAAGATGATATATAAAGTTCAACACTTTTTTTTTAGCACCAAGGAGTTTAACTTTATATTTTTCTTTCATTTGCTACTTCTCTGCAGAGAGTGTGATTCACAGTTCTGTTCTCTTTGTGGGTCATGCTGATGGATAAAGTAATTTCTTGTAACATAATCATTTAAATTAATTTCTGTGAGACACAAACATACTAATGTTCATGGCAGCACTATTCAACAATAGCCAAAAGGTGGACACAAGTGGAATATCCATCAATGGATTAATAAAAAAACTCAAACTCACTGCCATTGAGTCGGTGCTGATCCATAGCGATCAACTAAGGCCAGGTTAGACCGGCTCGTGGGTTTCTGAGACTGTAACTCTTTATGGGAGTAGAAAGTCCTGACTTTGTGCCTTGGAGCACCTGGGGGTTTCGAATTGATGACCTTGCAGTTAGCAGCCCAAAGCATAACCATTAAGCCGCCAGGGATCCTTTTCAATGGTTACTAGAGTAGCTAAACCAAAAATGTCATACATAAATATAATGGAGTGCTATTCTCCCATAAGGATAAATGAAATCCTGTTACATACTAGAAGGTGGATGAACCCTGAAAACATTATGCTGAGTGAAAAAAAATCAATCGCAAAATGAAGTTTTGCAAACTCTCATGTGTATAGAATAAGAATAGGCACATATATAGAATCTGAAGTTTATTAGTAGTTACCAGGGGTAGGGGGAGGAAGTAGGTCGGTGAATTTCTGTTGGTGGTGATGGAAAATTTGGCAATGATTCTGGATAATGGTCGCAAAAATATGATTAATGTAATTGATACCACTACACTGTACACGTGAGAAATGTTGAATTGGCTGGCATTGTGTTGTATATATTTGCAAAAATAAGAGTGATAAAATGAAACTAACCTCTATGACCAGAGTGACTTATTTAAGTAGTAATTCTTTCTTGTATCTTTTACAAAGTAGAGCCTAGTTCAAGCAGAAAGCAAATGTTTTCAGAATGATAATCGCAAATGTGCTGGACACAATCGATGGATGTATGGATTGTGATAAGAGTTGTACGAGCCCCCAGTAAAATGATTTAAATAAAACAAACAAACAAAAACAAAACAAAGTAGAGCCTATGCCAGCTAAACTTTAGGGAAGTGGAGATTTGTCTAAGCAAATGTGACAATTCACTTTCACATATTGCTCAAACAGAAAGAGTTGTATATGATATTTAAATTATTAACAATATGTACTTCTTTTTTAGTAACATTAATGAATAACAGTGCACAGTTTTTTAATAACAGCCAGAGGAGATGGAGGGAGCACTGGTAGCGTAGCACTGGTTATCTGTTAAGCTGCTAACCCCAAGGTCAGCATTTCGAATCCACCAGCTGTTCCGCTGGAGAAGGAAGAGACTTTCTATTTCTGTACTAAGATTTACAACCTCAGAAACCCATTGGAGTACTTCTACTCTCTCTTACAGGATCACTGAGTTGGCATTGACTCGCTGACAGGGAGAAGAAGGGGAAATACGGAATATAGGCAATGGAATGCAGAGGGCGATCTTCGTAGGACCTCAAAGACTCAAGAACGAAGTTTCCCCTTTTTTCTCTGTGACCTCTGTATTGAAAATGCCCTCAGGTTTTAATTCGAAACGTCTTTAATTTCCAAAATTAATCCGATTTTTACTCCCCGTGTTAAACCTTCCGATTTCTACCCCAAACCAAAACCTGTGTTCCCAATACAAGCTTCAGGAATTTTTGATGTTCAGAGATGACCCTCAGTCAATCCTGAAATGCTGAGGGAAAAAGGATGCATTTAGGAGCTCTAGGCAGCACTTCAAAGAGGGATAGAACAGGACGCCGAGTGCATTCTTGCAAAGTTTTGGACGGCAGAAGTTTGGCTGAGACCCTAGACACTGGAACGAGAGTCGTCCTTGAAAATATTCTAAAAGTTTTGTCATATTTTGAGATTCCAAACTCTGCCAAAATTCACATATGCCTAAAACTCAATCCTGCATCGTTTCCTTTCCAAATGCTCCTTTACGTTGATTCTCGTGCACATGAGTCCTGCGACCCTGGCAGTCGGCTTGATACTCATTTGAAAGGCTGTTGTAAGAAATGAATCTCTCTCATGCTCTCTCTCTCTCTCTGTGCGCGTGTGTATTTTTATTTTACAGAACAGACAGGGTGAAGCAAATTAGAGATTTGGTGACATATTGCCAAATGACTGGTGTTGCTTCGCAAGATGTTGGTACCCAAAGCAACGGACCCAAGATCTAGCATCCTTCCTTTGATCAGCTATTTCTGAAAGCCAGCACTCTACACTTTGCAATAGCATCTCCTCTTGATCCATGCCTCCTCCCTGCCCGCCCCCTCGCTCCTTCCCACTCGCTACCTCGCCCCCTCCCAGCCCGCGCATGCGTCCTAAGCACCCCCTACACTCACCGCCCAGGCTGAGAGTATTGTCGGGGGCTATTCTCTCTCCTAGGAACATGGCGGCAAGTCAGGGAGGCGGTGGGAG